CGCCTGTTGGAAGGCCGGGTAATTGGCAGGGTTATTGATGAATCTACGAGTCCTGCAGTGAAACCATTCGAGGTAACCCTGCTCCGGCTGTAGATAGTCGTCCACAGGGGCAATTGAGAGGAGATGATTGACTCTATCATCGGTCCACGAGGTCAGAATAGGTCCATGGAATGTGGGCCAATCATAAAATGCCCTCCCAGTCATCCCCTGCCCTCTGTGGTGTGCGTCCCACTCTCGCTCATCCCGAATGATCGGATCTTGGGGGATGGATTGGCGACACCCAAATTGTCGGAGGTCGCTATCAGGCATGTGTACCTCCCGGGTGCTCCAACTGAAGATCCACCCCCGGTACGTCCAATATTGTCGATCGTCTGTGCACGCATTCGGGAGAGAACCATTGTTCAGGACGTTTTGATAGGGTTGCCAATCGAACTGTAATAAAAAAACAACAATTGGATTAGTAATTAAGTTATTACAAAATTAAAAACAAAAAAAACAAAGATAAATCACAGAAAAATAAGAACAGTAAAAAGAAATAAACAATTGAATTAAAAACATTACCTCATCCTCTCTCAGCCCTGTAAGCTGATCCCGGTAGGCGGCCAATGTAGTGGCTATGTTTGACTTAGATTTCAGTCCCACCCACCTTAAAAATCACAAAAAAAAAAAAAGTTTGTAATCATAAAATTTGATAATGAAAATAATGTACGGATTAAATAAAAATAAAAGTGATTACCTCCCTCCCAATGGACAATCAGGCAGAGTACCAAACAAACATTTCTTCACCTTTGGAATCATTGTGGCGGTTACATTTCTGTGGTCATTTTTGTCGGCTTCTTGCATACAACTATGCCTCTCGGTCCATTCCGTTACTTCCCACAGATCATGAACCCGTGTGCAGTGAGTCACCCGAGCCTTCGAGGAACAAGGTTGAGCTTCAGCGGATTTGCACACCACCTTGAATGATTTCTTATTCGAAGCTTTTGTCCTAACCTCCCTCAATCTACTAACGTTCCAATTCATTATACCAATCTGTGCTTCTTGCTTGGACCGAACAGTACCCAAACGGAAGTCTCGACATTTCCATTCCAACGAGGGAGAGCATACTCATCCCGGTCTACACACGAGGGGTCCCACTCACCTATCTCGCGATACACGTGCTGACCGGTACTAGGAAATGGGTGCTCTTCAATAAACTCTGGTTCACTCTCCTCGTTTATTGATCTATCCGATTCAGTTTCCGATGTATCATCTGTCAAATCATCTTCATCAGGAATGAAATCATCATCGGGTTCTTCTCTAACAGTTGAGCTTGTCCATTCGCCAAAATTACGAACATGCGAAGTGGACGTACCCTCAAAATCAGGCACTCCCCCGTAAAAATGGGAAACATCCTCAAACTGTGTAATCACTGTAGGTGCCTGCTTAACCTGCTTCAACTCTAAATGCAAATACACATAGGAGAAAGCAGAAAATAATATATCCACTGTAAAGCACTATCAGTATTCAAGTTTCCAATGTTCCACGAACCATCGGGTCGATTAGTAAGTAAACTAATCCCCTCAATCATCCAACCATCTCGACGGAACCCAAAAATTTCATAAAGTATATCTTTAAGTTGTTGAAACGATAACTTCTCCCCAATGCTAAATGAACCATCCGGACGGTTTATAAAATCTGAAAATGAATGTAAACCCTCTTTCGGATGATTCCAATACACATTAACAAAATATGGTCCGGTAGACTCCATTTATACCTGTTAAAAATAAAATCACAAATTCTTTTAACAAACCCTAATACTCATTATCCATCAATATCATATAATACACTTTCAACCAAAAAAACCAAAAAAAAAAAAAATAAAAATACTCCAATTAATTAATTAATTAATCATTCAAAACCCTAATACCTTATCGAAGAATAACATAGAAATCATCTATAATTCCAATAAATTGAAACTCTAATTTCGAAAATTCTAACCCCAACAACACACAAACAATTACACAATTGACAATTTACACATAATATTTCAATCTCCAATTTATCATACACACATAATCGTTAATCAATTATCAATTTCAATCTTCAAGCACCAACACATTCAAACATATTATAACAATTCTCAATCTCCAAATAACTCCAAACAAATATAAAAAATTAAGATAAGCCAATATACTTCATGCGAATGAATTTACCGGAAATAAGACTCGTATCGCTGTTGTCGGTTCACGTCGGGGTGAAGATTGGATCGATTTTTTTTTCTCAAGTATTTCACTCTTTCTGTTCTCTCGCTCGCCCTCTGCTCTCTGTTGCTCAATTCTGCTCGTGTAAAATGAATGGAGAAGAAGATTTTTTTTTAAATATATTTTATATAAAACGTATTTAAGGAATACGTTTTTTGTATATTTAGTTATAAAACGTATTTCTTAAATACGTTTTTGTTAAATGTATTATTAAAAAAAAATATTTTTCTTAAAACGTATTCGAGTAATACATTTTCTTAAAACGTATTACTTAAATACGTTTTTTTTTATTATTATTTTATTTAACGAAAACAATTTTGAAAATTGTTTTCATTTTTTTAATTAAAATAGTTAAATAAAACTGTATTCAAGGAATACGTTTTTTTTAATAATTTTTTAAAAAAAAAACGTATTCAAGGAATACGTCCTTTTTATGTTTGTCCACTCCCTTTTTTCTTTTTTTTTTTGTCCACTTATTTTGTTGCTTTTTTTTAAATAAATTACCCACAGTGCAGTGATACAATGTACATCTTGATATGTATGGTGTAAAAAATAAAAATAAAAATAAAAAACGAAATTATGTCTCTAATTATTAGTCTTAATTGTTAAATAATTTGATGTGTAAGAAAATAATTAGTTGGTGAGGAAAAATATACAAAATAATAAAACTAATGTGAATATAGACGTTTCTTATAAATAATAATAATAATAATAATAATAATAATAATAATAATAATAATAATAATAAACGTGCCAGAATCGTGACTTTTACTCCTTTCTCTTTTAATCCAATCTCTTCATTTTGTTTTGAGCCCTTTTTGTGTTTCTCTTACCATTAGTTTTCTTACATTTCATCTCTAGCCTACCCCAACTTTTTTGGGACAAAAAAACTAAAATAATAATAATAAAAAGCATCTACATTGTTTGTTATTTCACTTGTGTAATGCTAGTTACGTGCCCGTTAAAACTAATGTGAACCTTTGTTATAACAAAAGATTGTTCGAATGTTATCAACACACCCTAACAAGTAACAACTAAGTTTTGAATGTTTTCAATTCCCACCCATGTCAAACACACATTAATCCTTCATATTGCACAAGATTTTACACTAAGAGTCGATCAAACTTATTATAGATTACAACATCGTCCACTCCCCAAATGGCTACTCGTCGTCCGACAAGCAAACCACACTCGTTGACCCCTTGGCCGCCTGGTCCCTCGGCGGCTGTGGCACATTGCTGAGCATCTCCAGGTCTGATGACTCCAAAGTGGTGAATTTCGAACCAATATCCGGCAAGTCCGAAGGCGGGACAATTCCCTCCACTAGCTGAGACGTATTGCCGGGGCCTCGTGCAACCGCCGGCAAATTAGAATAGGCCGGAGGAGGAGGAGGAGGAGGAGGAGGAGGAGGAAGCTCCCTTGGTGGTGGGGCCCGGACGGGATGAGCCACAGGTGGCGACGCGGCGCGTGGTCCCGGGTGAGGCCTGAAGTGCTGGAGGTGCGGTGCCGCCGAGCGAATCTCGCCAATGGGGCGGGACCCACGGGAGGGCGTAATGGTGCCGATGACGGGCGGGGGACGGGTGGCGGGAGAGGAGAAAAGGGCCGCCGTGTTGTGAACGGCCCGGACGGCGGCGGGGGAGGAGGATCCGATGGGATGCGCTCGAGATGTTTGGGAGGGCCTGGCCGCGATTGGCGGCGGGGACCCGAGTGGACGGGTTGGGTTTGCTACTGGCTGGATCAGGCCAGGTGGGCGGGTTGGGGATGCGACTGGCTGAGTGAGGCCCGATGGGCGGATTGGGGGTGCGACTGACTGAGTGGGGCCCAGTGGGCGGGGTTGGGATGCGACTGGCTGAGTGGGGCCCGGTGGGCGGGTCGGGAGCGTGACTGGCTGAGTGGGGCCCGGTGGGCGGGTCGGGGGCGAGACTGGCTGAGTGGGGCCCGGTGGGCGTGCTGATAGCTGCTGCATGTGCTGTAAGAAGCTGGACGGAACACCTGAAAAAAGGAAGATCAATCATAAGAGATGCCCAACAGTTATTTTTGGGGTATTAAATTAAGTGTTGCGCAGGGCATAAACGAATGCTTGTTTCAAACAGTGAGAGCATAGTGTTTTCTGAAGGTTCATTCAACCATAACTTTGGGCGTAAAATATTTCTCTCGAGTCTCGTGGAATAAAAATGAAAAATTGCTGGTCGACTTTCCTTGTCAATTTAACATACAGAATTAAACATACTCAACTAATGAATGGTAGGCATGTATGATGACCTCAAACGTCGCAAAGGCCCGTCAAAGATAAAAAGTACGTTTATCCAGAAACGTGAACACATCAGTCACCAAGATACAAGGAAAAAGGAAATAGCAAAGGAAGTACATAATATCAGGTATCATATATAATTTATCATATGATTTCCCTCTCAGTGCCATTTTCATGAGGAAACACCATTCCCTCAGCACAGAAATATTGCTAAGTTCTCTTTCATCATGTGGAGGGAAGAAATATGAAGGAAAAGAATAAAAAAACAGAACAAAACTTAAAAGTGAACGATAAGAAAATTCAAAGGACCCTAACACTGAATTCTCTGGTTGCATCAATAACCATTGTGGATGCATAGACGACATACCTTGTTGCATTCCTGGAATGGCAGCAGGCTTTGGGTTCCAGCACTTTGATCTAAAAGCTGCAGCCAATAATTTATTCATAAGAACTTTATTCTGATTATTTTCGAGTTCACTCCTTTTCGACGTAAATTCAGTTTCAGCCTCCTGAAGCTTCGTGTTGTACTTGTTACGAATTTGATTAATCATCTCCTGTATCTCCACCTCACAATCAGATTGCAGCCGTGACACCTAGAGAGAGAAAAATGGTATTTACACAGACAAAAAAGGAAAAGGAAATGAACGAAAAAGACAGGAAAACAAATGCAACATGATCAAAAATTTTCTCCACAACTAACCAATTCTTTATGGTTTTTATCCAGTTGTTCAGTATCTCTACGTAGGTTATCTAACTCGATCTGAAGTGGGTCAATAGATGAAGAATGTGGTGAACTTCCGTAAGCAAGTTGATGGCTAGGAGTGACAAGGTAGCTGGGACCCACAGGATGGCTTCCTTCTGACCCAAGTTGAAAAGCAGCTTCATTTGGCCGTTCAGTTGTACGAGCCACTACCTGAGAGGGTGGAGTCACAACATTTTCAGAAACAGCAGGTACTTCAGCCACTACCTCGGCCACTGTTTCATGATCTGACGTAACACGGGCCACAGATTCATGATTCAAAGGTACACGTGTCACAGTTTCATTATCCATCAGCACACGGGTCACGGTTTCATTATCCGTAGGCACACGGGTTACAGTTTCATGATCCAAAGGTACACGGTTCACAATTTCATTATCCGTCTGCACATCGGTCACAGTTTCCTTATCCGTAGGCACAGGGGTTACAGATTCGTCAGCCGCTGGAGCTTCTTCCTGATTTGACAGTGCAGGTGTCACAGTGTTGATGAGTTCAGTTTGAACCTGCAAAGTATTTTGATCTTCCACAGCTGGCGACTCAGATGCCAAACTCTGGTCGGTTGTATCTTGCTGCACCTATCACAAAAATTACTTATTATTTTTCCGCAGTTCAATTCATGTATCCTCAAATAAAGTTCAGCAATAATTACTGCACAAAAAAA